CCCCCCCCCCCCCCCTCCCGCCTGCCTGACAGCGGCCGCACTCAGCTGGGTCTCACTCCTGAGACAGTGAGGGTTTCGGGGGCTTTGCTTAACTCGGCTGTCTTTGGGATGAGGAGGGGTGTTTCGTTGTCTCAGTGATTTTTCCCCATTTTGTTGTGGATAGATGTGTTTGGGGCTTGATGGTATTTTTGGTTTTTGTTTTTTAAAATTTCTTTTTGATGGATGAGCTCAAGTTTGGGACTTTTCAAGCCGGAACCCTAGTGCCTAAGGAGCCTCATGTCTCCACGTTAATTTTTTTTTTTTTTTTTTTTTTTTTTTTTTACTTTTTCTTAAGAAGAAATTGGCCTCATACCTTTTCGGAGGGCAGGACTGTTGGCTGGTAAAGGAGGGAGCTGAGTGCCCCTTCCCCTTCTCCAGCTATCTCCGTTACCATGTCTCATGTCCCTCACTATCAGAGTTCGCCGCCCCTGCTGCTCCCCTTTCCCACTCTGTTTTTAAATCCTGGGGTGGAGAACGTGCTCTTTGGCATTGGGTAGTTTAGGCTGGTCAAGGCAGAGCCCTGCCTGCCAAGAATGCTAGACATTCTGGAGGCGGGGGAGGTTGTGCAGCTTCCTCTTTTTTAAACGTGCTGGGTTCCAGTTGCACAGGAATGAAGTGTATGTGCATTGCATGCCTTTCTTTAAAATTACAGTTATTTGCATATTATTGCTAAAACTTTTGACATTCTCCTATTCTCTTTTTGTGGAGAGTGCCTTTTAAAAATAGAATTAAAGATTGTAGAAAATTTCCGATTTACTTAGATTTTTTTAAAGTTAAATTCTTACCAACTCAGAAATTGTGCTGAAATAGCAGATTTCTGAAATAACTGGCAGTTTCCCCCCCCCTGAGGTAGAAAGAGTAAGATGGGAACTATTAAGTACAGATATTTGGGGCAATTTTATACCTCAGTCAGCCCACTGCCTAAAATGAAAATACTTCTATAATGATACATTGCAGGGGTTGAGGGGGAATATTGGGCATCTGACATTAACACAGACTACTGAAGTCTTGGAAAAACCGCATTCCAAAGTCCTGTAAGTTAGCGCTCACATTTCTAATGCACATTACTTAGAATTTAGAACATAATAAAGTATTTTGTACAGTGACTTCCTGTTTGCTACAAAGTTCTTTGAGAAGTGGATATAAAACGTTTTTAATTTGATGATTTGGAGTTTAAAGCGATGCATTTGAGAGTCTCACAGGTATTTTGCTCAACAATCTATTTGTACAGTTCAACTTCACTTGGAAGAGATTTGATAGGTTTCTATGAAGTCAGTTACGTTTCTGGAATTGTTTCTAGTTCTATATTTCTTGCTCACAGTCTTCAGATGTATTGAAGTGAAGGCACATCTTGTTCATTACTTGTGTTAAAAAATAATCTCCCACAACAAAGCACTGCTAACAGTTATTGAGTCTTCGTGAGACAGGCACTGTGCTAAGTGTTTTCCATATTATTACCTCATTTAATTAAGTTAACAGTTGCAATTAGTTACAAAATACATTTTATGTTGTACCAACTAGAGGGTGTTCATTTTGGAACATTGGAAAGTAGTGTGGATGATGTTGGAAAGTGTATATCCACCAAACTTTCTCATTATCATAGTTTAATTTTATGAAAGCTTGAATTAATTTTATTAAAATTTTTTCACCTGTAATTTTTTTCAATTTAAAATATGAAAAGTAGTAAAGTACATGTAATAAAATTAGTATATTCCTTACCATAATGCTGACTAGAGGTAGCGTATAACCCTTTTTAGTTCTTTTCTCTTGGTGGTTTTTTGTTTATAGATTTCCTTAGTCTTGACTAAAAATGTATAAACGGTTTTAAAACACTTTACAGCTTTGGGTTACTAATAAATATGACACTTGTTTAAAGTAAATTTTGTTGTTGAGTTTAATGAATTGTTTTATTTAGAACTTGTTATGTCTTTAATTTTTATAACAACCCTTTTACCAATGACAGCAACCAGTTTTCTAATGTATTAAACTAAAAGCTCTAAAATTAATCAGAATGACTTCATTAAATAAGCTGCAAAAGTGATGTTACGTTAATAGTCTTCAAAATTAGCGATGTGTAAAAGAACTGCCAAAATAAGGCACTTGATTGTTTTGGCTTTCTTTTTATTGGGAAGACTTAATAAAAGTGCTTTAAAAATTGTTCTACATTCATTTTAGAAAGTATCTACACACTTAAGGGTCAATGTTAGATAGGTTTGAAATTAGTTTAAGTGTAGAAATTACATTCTCAAGTAATTTGCGATAAAAAAGATTACTCAATAAAAGAACTTTAAAAATTGTAAAAGAAGTATTAGGACACTTTAATAATCAGAGGTAGAGAAACAATCATAGAATTCCAACTTTGATTTCAGTTTTATATACTCTTGCCTTTATTTAATTTCATATGCTTGGAGTTTTTTTTTTGTTTTGGTTTTCGGTGGTTTTTTTTTTTTTTTTTTTTTTTGTGTGTGTGTGTGTGTGTGTGTGTGTGTGTGTATGTGTGTTTGGTACTGCTTTAGAGACAACTTTTAAAAAACCATTGATTTCCTCCCCCCCCCCCAATTAAAACACTGCAACAATCTTGAGTTAACCATTTTTGCTTCTATAAAAATTATTTAAAACTTTATAAATTTTAAAGCTCATTTTCATTCTGCAAATAGTTATATTTCATCCCTCATATGCCACATACTGTGCTGTGAACAGAAAACAAATAGTTAGCAAACAGATGTCTTAATTTCCTTGATATTATCACCTAGATAGGAAAGTTTATGAAAAGTATAAGATATTATAAAGTATCTCTAATAGGAGATTCTGCTCTAGTTTGATGGTGGTGGTGGTGGTGGTGGTGGTGATTATAGACGCAGGGATGGTCCAGGAAGGTTTCTTTGAGTAAGTGATCTTTGAGCTGAAATTAGAATGAATAAACAAAGGGAAAGGAATAGTCCGGCAAATGGAACTGTATAGAGATTGACTACTGAGTCAAACAGTGTTTTTTTAAAGTTGCAGGGTCATGGACCCATTATGAGTGTGAAACCAATTTGGTGGGTTGCAACCAGCATTTTAAAAAATGAATGGAATAGAAGAGAGATCACCTGAGTCTATCGCCTGTCTCCTTATCCAGATCTGTTTTCTGTATTCCTACACATAACACCCCATAAAAACATAACATGCTTAATATCTGTACTGGCCAGGACTACAAAATTATTTTTTTATTGTGGGTCACAGTAAACAAACACTGTTGGAAGAATGAGAAGCAGGTGTGTGTGGCAGGAGTGTTGACTAGGAATCTTGACTCCAGAGCACATTGCAGTGGCATTTAGGACCCTTACATATCTCATGCTGAGCCTTATAGTGCATGATAGCTCCTTACTCATCCTTTGGAAGAGTTTTGAGCATAGACATGACATGATGAGATTCATGTTTTGAAAAGTATACTCAACACTTAGGAGTGGGGGAAAAAATGATGTGGACAGATCCTTAGGAAATTAGTGACAGTAGCTCAGACAAAAAAAAAATGATAATAATTCACCTATAGTGGTAGTAGAGATAGAAATGGGTAACTTAAAAATAGATTAGGAAGAAAAATACAGAGTTAGGTGAAGTATAGGAAAGAGTAAATGATACAATAATATATCTTACACGTGACCTGGAAATGAGTATTACATAAAAGTTGTGTAAATTTTATAGAAGTCCCTAGTAGTTCTTCTGTTTTGAAAATATCCAAATATTCAAGCCAAAATATTTGAAAAAATGTTTTAATGATGATGTTTGAGATAATTTGATTCCACAAGTCATTCCCTTTTTTATTTCAAGAGATACAAACAAAATTAGGACTTTTTCTTCTGGAAAGGTAAAATGAAAACATGAATCTGAAACAAAGAGTTTTATTGAGTTTCAATTATGTGCTGGGATTAGGTGTTTTATCATATGAGGTCTTTTTAAAAATATATATATATATTTATTGATTTTTAGAGGGAGAGATAAAGGGGAAACATCAAGTGGCTGCCTCCTGCAAGTCCCCTACCTGGGATAGAGCATGCAACCCAGGCATGTGGGCATGTGTCCTGACCAGGAATTAAACCAGCAACCCCTGGGTGCATGGGATGATGCCTAACCAACTGAGTGCACTGGTCAGGACTTCATATTGGGTATTTTAATTTTGTGTTTCCTTTTTGTCCTAAAACCCACAGCCTGTAAGCAAATGTGTTACCTTTAGAAAGGCTATTAATCATCTCTTTACTTTGGGAATAACATCTAAAAATACCTACCTCATGAGATTATAAGAATTAAAAGACCATGGTATAGAAGCTTCCATCCAACACATAGATTTTGTAAACATTTTATTTTTTCAAAACTCATATTTCATCTTTATTTTTGAAATCATCTTTATTTTATGATTATTTCATCAGTAAGAGCCCAGATAAATTAACTTCCAAACCTCAGGTTCTTTAACATGTACACTAATAAAAGAGAAAGATGGAAATTGACCATACCTTCATGAAGCCTACCAGCCAAAGAGGAGATGGGTTAATTTGCATACACAGACTCTGAGCAGGTGGGGGTGGGACACAGGCATTCCATCTGGGCCCCAGCTGCAGTGTGGGAAGGCAGAAAGGCGGCTCTGGGCCAGAGTGAAGGCTGTGCCGGCAGCCAGGGGAAGGAAGGCCCATTCTTGCGTGAATCTTTGTGCATTGGGCCTCTAGTGTGAAATGAAGATGATAGTATGATAGTTTGCATATCATAAAGTTGTCAGGATTACTGGCATTTAATAAATAGAAGCTACTAATAGTAGTAGTTGTAGAGTGCAGTGTTTGTGGTGGTTGGTTTTAATATAATACTGAGGTGGGCTTTGGGCTATTTGAAAACCTCGTAGAATGTTCCCCCTGGTTGATGTGGTATTTGTGTTTCTCTTTTTTTTCTTCCCCCTTTAAGGATTTCAGTTTTTCTGACTGATATATGAAAGGATGATTGCTCACAAACAGAAAAAGACAAAGAAAAAACATGTTTTGTCATCAGGCCAGCTCTCTACTGATGTTACAACTTCTGAAATGGGGCTCAAGTCTGTAAGTTCCAACTCCATTTTTGATCCGGATTACATCAAGGAGTTGGTGAATGATATCAGGAAGTTCTCCCATATGCTATTGTATTTGAAAGAAGCTATTCTTTCAGGTTTGTCAACTATTTTCTCTTAGGATACTTACTGGATAGTTTGTAAAATTTTAAATGCCAGCCTAGTTAAGATAAGTGTGTACACAGTGGTAGAAATAGGGTATTCTTCTATAATTATTATAGTCCCCCTCCTCAAATGTTTGATCTTTACAGTGTAAACTATTTTATAATCAGATAAATTATAGGAATTTTGGTAATTGTGAGGGAATAAGAATACAAAAAACAAAAATAGGTCTTGGGTTCTTAACAGTTGGGCCCACTTGACATAGGAAATTTTAGGTCATTGGAATTTTAACCTTCTTAATAGTAACAGTATATTGAGTGGTCTTTAATAAGCAGACTTATGTTTATCATTTACATTGTTGATACTTCTGCCTAGGTTTGGTTTTCTATATTGTTCCTAATGTCTAATCTAAAAATCATTGCATTTGAGTGAAACTTTAATTGTTTTGCTATTCTTCAGTTTGCTTCTTCAATTAAGGGGAGAATCAAGAATTTATTCTCTGACTAGTTACCAGTAGATATGAATAATAAAGCACCAGAGTTGATTCTTCAAAGAAAAAGAGCTATACACATCTTAGTTCCTAAATCTTTCAACTTTTAGTGCCTCTTTGATATACAAATTTGATGGCAATGATAATAAAGATATAGTTTCTGTTCTCCTGTGATAAGTAGCACCTAATTTCTAAGTTTGTAAATGGTTTCTCTGGATGTGGAAAATGAAGATACCTAGTGTTACTTATAAGAGATCTCCAGGTGTTTCACAGACATTTGTAAGATTCCAATAAATATTTTCTGTGTATATAAGTTAAATATTTATTTTCTGATAAACCGAAACTAAAGCCATACCTTGTTTTAAATGTTGACTTAAGAGTGTTTTTTAGCCTAACTCTAATTTTTCAGGTTGAAATGCCCAAAATAACTGCACTTGATTATAGCCCCAAAATTTTAATATTTGAATTTTCTTTAAAACAATTATGTAAGTCATTCTTCTGAGACTATATATATATGTGTATGTATGTGTATATATTTTTATTACTTTAATTTGTTAGTGGACAGTTGAGAGATTAGGAAGAAAGAGAATTAAAAGCTGATCTTAAGTGAAAAAAGAAAAAAATGGTAATACATATAAGATAGCCAAAGGAGACTACCCCTTGAGATATAAAAGTATGTGTATGAAAATATATTTTTCATGGACATTTAATATTAAAAAGCTGTAAGGGTTTTTATTAATAAGAAAATAAAGTTTCTTATTTACTAATAAGAAAATCAGTACTTCAGAATTTAAATACTCAATTATATTACTACTAATAAAAAAGCTTGCCATTTATGGCTGGTAAATTGAAAAATGTAAAATAACTCTTGGATAACCAATTTTCATTAGTAAGCAATGGTCAGAGAATTTTCATTATTTACCTTTGGATTGATTTTAATGTTTGGTTTTTCTATCAGAGTTAAAAGGATATATGTATGCCATCTCAGAATAAATCTTGGATTTGACAAGAATTTGTGTTTTTCTGCCTTCGGATCATTATCAAAATCTGGAAATATACTATTTAGTTTATTTGATTTGATAGGACCTCTTTTGTCTGTTTCCCTTAAACAAGGGAGTATCTATACTAATAAAAGCATAACATGCTAATTAGACTGGACATCTTTTGGACGTCTTTCCAGACAAAGCCACAGTGGCGGGGGCCAAGGCAGAAGTGGTTAGGGGAGATCAGGCCAAAAGGGGATAGCCGTTAGGGGTGGTCAGGCCAGCAGGGGAGAGCAGTTAGGGGTGATCAGGCCAGCAGGCAGAGGTGGTTAGAGGCAGTCAGTAAGGCTGGAACCAGGGGTCCCAGATTGTGAGAGGGATGTCTGACTGACAGTTGGACATCCTCCAACGGGTGTCCCAGATTGGAGAGGGTGCAGGACTGAGGGACCTCCCTATCCCCATGCATAAATTTCACGCACCAGGCTTCTAGTGTATAACATATAAATTAACTATATTATTGATGATAAGAAAAACTACATAATATGCTTGCTTTTAATATTGGTCGTGGTTTTCAGCTTGCTAGAGTATCAGACCATTCTTTATCTAATAAATTATTACAAGAAATACAATCTTCAGGAAAGTAGATAAAATTAAAATTTTATAATTCTTTAAGGTGATATTATTGCATATAAATAGAATGGACATAGTCCATTCTTTTGTATTCTGGGTATTAGGAAATAGACTTTTGCTATTCTTTAGTACATCACAGTTGTAAATTATGGCCAGACAGCAAAGAGCTGTTTCACTGTTTTTCTTTTGTATTGAGGGAGCCTTGTCAGTGTCCTTGCCAATATTTTGTCTTTGCCTCCTTAACATGTTAAGCACCCAGCCTGTTTTGTCTTCTGGACGGAAAGTATAGTGTCAGTCACCAGTGACTGATTGTGTACTTAATGTGTTAAGAGGAAGGATGGCAATTTTTTTGTCATTGTTTTTGATCTTTTAATTCATATCAGTTGGCTGTTAAAGAGCTAAAAAGTTAGCTTTTAAGAACATAGAATGTAGGTATATTGTTAAATCACCTTTTGGTGTGATTTGAATGCCATATTCTTTATATACTTTACTTGTCATGAAGCAATGATGTCCAAACCTCTTGACTATTGCTTCAGGTGTTCAATCATTTTGTTGATGCTAGACTTTACCTTTTACAGAGTACTTTTACATACAAACAGTATTGAGTCCCACAGTCCCACAAAGACAGGTATTTTTAGCCTCATTTCACAGATGAGTTGTATGTATAACATATGTTATGTGATTTCATCAACCCCTTAATGCTGATAGTGATTTCGTTTGAAACCCAGAGGTCACAAATACAGAATGATGTTTCTTTCCATTCTGTTTAACCTGCTTCACATGGCAGGTACTCTGTGGAAATACTGTTCAGTTTTCATATTTCATTAGCCAATTCTGTTTTCGCTGGGGATTATGTAAGTCTGCACTATCCAATATGATAGCCTCTAGACATGTGACTACTTAACATTAAGTAAATTTAATTAAAATAAAGAATTCAGCTTCTCAGTTGCCATGGCCACATTTCAAGTGTTTTTTAGCCACAGCATTTTGGACAATGAAGTTACAAAAATTTCCATCATTGCAGAAGTTTTTATTGAACAGTGGTGGTACGGACATTTGGTCTTCAACATTCTTGAGAAATTGAGATGAATTATTGTTCTATAAATATTTTTTATTTCTATAGCATTAAAAAGGAAACTAGAAAATTGTTATGGGAGCAAATTTGAGAAAAATTTTACCTAGAAATAGGCACTCTTGGGGACTTTTTGGATTCTTCTTCCTTAAGTTGCCTTTAGAAGGTGTAGTTTTCATGCCCTCCTTTGATTTGAACAAGCAGATCAATTTCCAGCCAGGTTATACAACTTGGTTGAATAAGTAGTAAGGGATATGACAGAGTTCTGGAAAGAAAACATGATTTAAGTTCTATGCTTAGGTTTTTTACTGACTAGTTTTGGAATATGGCTTACATTATTTAATAATTTTTTAAGAATAAAGTGCTTATAACAGATGCTATCAGTTTTTTAATTCTTTGATTCAAAATTTGATTGGAGTTGGATATTCTACATTGTTTTGAATATTGACAGTTCATGCCTGAAGAAGACAGCTAAGTATTTGTTTTCAAAGTACATAATGCAATTTAGAAGGCATCTACATCCTATTATTCTAAAGGATTTTTAAAATGTGAAAAATTACTAGAGGCCCAGTGCATGAAATTTGTGCAAAGAGGTTTCTCACCCCAATCTGCACCTCTCCAATCTGGGACTCCTCGGGCAAATGTCTGATTGCCAGTTTAGGCCTGAGCAGTTGGACAGCCCTCTCACAATCCAGGACTGCTTGCTCCTAACTGCTCATCTGTCTGCCTGCCTGATCGCCCCTAACTGCTCCCCACTACTGGCCTGGTTGCTGCCAACTGTTCCCCTACCCCTGCCAGCCTGGTTGCCTCATGCAGCCTGCTGTTTGGTCATTTGGTCGCCCCTCACTGCCCACCCTGTCGGCCTGGTCACCTCACAAAGCCTGCTGTTCAATTGTTTGGTTGTCCCTCACTAACCCCCCTGCCAGCCTGGTGCCCCATGCAGCCTGCTGTTCAGTCATTACTGTGAGGGCATCCTGACCAATTTGCATATTATCATTTTATTAGTATAGATTTTAAGTGTGATATCTATGAAAATTTTCTAAGTGGGAATGTAAAGCTCATATTGCAGTAGTTTTTGAAAAACCAATTTAAAAAATAGGTGTTTACCAAAGAGCCCCATGTCCCTTAACAGGGTTAAGATATGTTTGCAGTTTGCCTCTACTGTATTTATTTACAAATAAAAATAGAGAGCTCAATGAGAGGACTGTGAAAACACTTTCTTTGATAGGGCAAGTGATAGAGTTGTTAATTCTTTCTGTCCACCACTTATTTCCTTCCAGGAGTCTTATACGAGTAGCAGATGTGGAATTTGAAGATTAGGTCTCTATCCTGTGTTATTAGGGTCCATTATGAATAATTACAGGGGAGAATTTTGCATCTTAAGTTAAAATGCTGAAGGCACTGAATTAAACATATGTCCTCTGTGTTTAAATATAACATTGCAGATTAATATATGTGCTGTGTTCCCTAGCTGGTTTGGCTCAGTGTATAGAGCACCTGCCTATGGACTGAAGGGTCCTGGGTTCAATTCCAGTCAAAGGCATGTATCTCGGTTGCAGGTTCATCCTGGCTTGGGCTCTGGTCAGGGCATGTGCAGAAAGCAACCAATTGATGCATTTTTCTCATATGGATATTTCTCTGTCTTTCCCTTTCTCCCTCTCTCTTCCACTCTTCTCTCAAAATCAGTGGAATCGCTCTCTAAAAATTAATGGAAAAGGAATGAGGATTAAAACACACACACACACACACACACACACACACACACACACACACACACACAGTATAAGTACCAATTCAGGTTTATGGTGTCACCCCTGAGGA